ATTATTATTATTATTATAGTTATTCACAATTCACACGGTGGAAAGGTAGTTAATGATATTTTATGTTATTTCCATGGTTACGCTTGAGAGACTGTTGTTACGTAATGTAAATATCCTGAATATCATTGGTGAATTCGTTGTTGTTTCCCCTACGTCATGAACATGGTCGCCACGCTCCGCCCTCCCGCTCAGCCCTGTTGTGGTTGACTTGGAAACCTTCGCAGCGTCGCTGGTGAAGTTGGAGGACAGTAGAATCACTGCAGGGTAGATACACGCAGTTATCTGTAGCTTACTCCTGTCCAGCTTTTTAAAATGTATTCATGTGGACTTTGTTTTGTTGTTGTTTGTTTGTTTTAGGCTCAGACTGTTTTAAGAGCTAAATCGGAGTGGAAAAAACAAGGCAAGTCAATAATGCCTAGCTAACGTTAGCACTTAGCAAGCTAACGTTACTTAGCGGCTAACTGTTAGCGTCTCGAAATGTTGCTTTTCCTACGGTTGTTTTTAGCCTCGTGTGAGCAGATACCACAGAAAACACAATTTGGGTTTGTCCCTATTTTTTTTATTCTAATTGCTAAACTAATCGTGTTCGTTAAAAACCAGCGTAGGATGATCCAGCAGAGATTTTGTGTGGTTAACGTTTAACGTTAAGGTTAACGTTATCCCTGTTTTGAATATACAGGATGAGAGCCTTCCTCCCTGGATTACTGCCCTTCTGTATTCAGAATGAGAGACATAACGGTGCCTGAGGATGCCAGCAGGTGAGTCCCTGCTTTCCCCTCAACACAAAAGCAGTAGAGGATATACTCTTATCCATCAATTAAATAAAAGTAACTTAATACCACAGTGTACCAATGCCATATCCTGCAGAAAAGTTTGTACAGAAGTAAACTTATAGTATCAAAAGTAAAAATTCTTATAATGCAGAATACCTTATTTCACAGTCCTATATATCATATTAGTAGATGATGCACTAAAGTGTAAGCAGGTAATCATTTTAATGCTGTAGTTGAATTTAAAGTAGTTAATCACACTGTTGGCTAGTTTAATGTAAAAACACACTAACTTTGAAATTGGAAATCTGATCGAGTAGAAGTGAAATACTTACTTACGCAAAAGTGCCTCAAAACTGAACTGAAGTACAGCAGTAAGTAGTAGTAGTAAATTTACTCTTTACCACAGCAACACACACTGCTTTAATAACATAGTATTAACTTATCTTGTCTTGGAAAATAAAATTTAGATCAGCGCTCACATGATTGGTTTGTCTCGAGCCATGTTTTAAGAATTGTTTTAAAAGTCATGCATTCTCAGCCCACGATAATGATGGTGTAACCTTTTTACAGGTGAAAGTGAAGTTCGGGCAAGGACCCGGGAAAGATTCAATGAAGTCTTCAAGAAATACTCTGATTCACTGAAGAAAAAGTCAAAGAAGAAAAACACTGAAGCTCAGGAGACCATTGTGGTATGTGTTAAAAATAAATACATCTGGTTTGTTTACTTAATCTCCTTCCCCCAAAATACCCTGCAAAGTAATGCAGACCAGTTGAAATGTTCAACATCTTATTGAAGAAAAAAAGATTAACGTTAATATATATTGACATTTCCCTGCTCTCCCTTCTCCCTGTTTTATTTAGCTTCAAAATCTAAAAAAGAATTTGAACCTTGAGAAGGACACAGAAGAAGATGAGACCATCCTCCAGAACACGTATGACCCTGAACAGGGCAGCCCTCGCTACACAAAAAATAAACGAAGGGAGAAGGAAACGGCAGAAAAGATTAACATCAACAACAGTAAAAACCAAGAGGAGGCTCCAACACCTAAAGGCAAGAAGAAAAGTAAAAGGGAGCTTCCCTCCCTCCCACCTGAGGACACTAGTTACATCCAGAATGATACAGATGCTTCCAAGTCTGAGATTGCTTTGGAGCCAGATGACGTAGGTGGTAGAAAAGAACCAAAACGAAAAAGTAAGAGGGGGAAAAGCAAAGGAGATACAGAGGCCAAGGCAGAGAGTCAGGTGGAGGATGCAGAGGACAAGCTGCTGCATGAATACCAGCAGCAGATAGCACAGGAGGAGGAGAGGACTTCAAAGAAGAAAAGCACCAAGAGTGCAGATGATAGTGTTGTCTCCCAAACCGTTCCCCTAAATAATGACGTTGGAAAGAAGAAGAAGAAAAAGCTGAAATCTGTAATCACACAGTCAGAAGTATGGTGTGTATATCTACTAGTATGATATTGATTTATTGTTGTTGTTGTTGTTTTTTGTTGTTTTTTTACATTTAATAATTAGGCTTAAAACTTTTCGGCTCACTAGGGATGAAGATGCCGACCAGGATGCTGATGTGGACAATGAAGCAGAATCTAAGGGAAAGAAGAAAAAGAAGAAGAAAAAACATGGTAACTTCACTGTTGTCAGGAAATAATTTACAAAGTTCCAATACAAAGTCTGTACAACATTGATGGATTTCATGTTTTTAATTTCTCATTTTTCAGTTGTCAAAGAAGAGAGTGATACAGAGGCAGAAGTACCACAGAAGCCAACATTTGATGACAGCCTTGTACTGGGAGTGTACATCCACAGGACAGATCGCCTCAAAACAGACCTGCTGATCTCTCATCCCATGGTGAAGATACATGTTATCGATGAAAACACTGGACAGTATGTGAAGAAAGAAGACTGGTGAGAATGGACACTCTCAGACACACATATTACCACAGTTCTGTGTTAAATTGTCTTAAATTCCATTTCATGAATATTAGGCATAAAGGTCATTATGTAGTTGTAGTCTAAAATTTAAAGTCATGAGGTCTTAATGCCACAAACATTTTTATCTAATTTCATTCACTCATCCTTTAATTTCTATTTGGCAAAATTAGTTAAGCTTTTAAATATGCTCCTTCGCGTCAAAGGGGTCAGTTGAGGTGGTTCGGGCATCTGATTAGGATGCCTCCTGGGCGCCTCCCATTGGAGGTGTTTCGGGGTATGTCCCACTGGGAGGAGGCCCCGGGGCAGACCCAGAACATGCTAGAGGGATTACTATCTTGTCTGGCTTGGGAACACCTCGGGGTCCCTCAGGAGGAGCTGGAAAGCTTTGCTGAGGAGAGGGACGTCTGGGGTGCTTTGCTTGGCCTGCTGCCCCTGAGACCTGGCTTCAAATATGCGGTTGAAAGTGGATGCACAGATGGATGGATGGAACATGAAAGTTCACATTTGATTTTACAAATCTTTAAACTTAACACTGAACCTCATACTGACTTTTTTTCTTAAACTTGCCTGTTGCAAAATGTAGATTAATCATACTAACTTTAATAACTGTATTCCTACATAAATCCTACCCCTGCACAGGACAACATATATGCTACCTTTATAATTTTCTGCAGTGCATGAATAAGATAAAGATGTTTCAGCCAAAAATCGTTATCAAATTTGGTTAAAATTCACCTTGAAAAGTACTTCAACAACCTCACGTTTAAGTGTCTGACACTCTGTTTACTGCAGACACCCAAAGTGTATTGCTTCAATTTCAGTATTTGTATGTACTGGTGAAACATTGTTGTCCTTTGTCTTGTTTTTTATAGTCGTCGACCCGTCTCCTCATTTTATGAGCAAGAGAATGTTGACCACATTATCCCCATCATGACTCAACCTTTTGACTTCAAGAAGAACAAATCAATCATCCCTGAGTGGCGAGAACAGATCATCTTCAATGAACGCTTTGGTTACTTTGTTGAACAAAATGATGACAGCCCCAGAGTTGTACTCCTTTTTGAAGTAAGAGACACTACATTTAATCATGTTTGGCCAATTTCAGTGTAGCTGTCAATAACTGATTTTTATCTAAATGTTTTGTAAAGATCCTGGACTTCATAACCATGGAAGAAGCAAGAGCCAACGTTGATGTTGACAAGCATGAGCGAGGATTCAGAAAGATTGCATGGGCATTCCTTAAGGTAGAAAGTTAGAAAGAAAAGACCAGTCTGAATTTGTTTTGAATTGTTGTTTGTTTGTTTTTTAAACATATCTCCCAATTTTTCTCTGTATCCTTTAGCTCGTTGGTACAAACAGCGTGCTGAATATCGACAGTAAACTTCGACTTCAGCTCTTCTGCCCTCCCCCTCGGGCAAAGAGACAACCTAAAACAATAGAGGTGGTTGAGTGGTGGAGGAAGTACCCCCGAAACAAATACGCATCCACCCTTTATGTTACAGTGAAAGGCATTAAACTTCCAGAGCATGTAAGTTAGATGCTGCTTTTCTATTACATCTTTGTAATGAATACTTCTGTCTTATGATTCAACTACAGGTATGCAGATATGCAAATGGTTTTCATATTAGTGATACTGTAGATGTTTGGTTTTTGTTCTGCAGGTGGACCCCTGTATTCGGTCCATGATGGCCCTGCAGGAGGAGAGGGGCAGCACCTCCTACAGCGAACTGCAGAATGAGGTCAACAAGAGAAGCCTGATGCAGCCTCTAGACAGCAAGCCACCACCCTTGAGATGGAGCAGGCTGCCTGGCCAGGTTGGTGGAATTAGGAATTATTATTTGATAGAACAGATGTCAAAATAATATCTTTATTATTTCAAAATAAGAATTAAAACAGTCCTGTGTATTGTTTAAATATAATGCATCATGATGTATGGTGGTGATAGTGTTCACAGCATCAGCGCAGAATGGATAACAAAAACATCACTCACATGTTTCATGTTTACTCTCAAGGTCTGCAGGATACCTAACAAGTCCATGCAGGTTTTCCGTGGTGGTAAGATGGGCTGCTTCGCAGTTCTCTTCTCTCACGCTGGGACAATACTGGCTACAGCTTGTGCTGACAGAGATGCTTTCCCTGTGATAGGTAAGCAACACCTCGTCTGTGTAAAACTCCTCCTGCTGATGCTTCTCTTCACACCTCAGCAGAAATCTCCGGCTAATTAACTCACTGTTTATTCACAGTAGTCATGAACAGCTCTCGAGATTATAGCAAGATTCTACAACTTCCTAGCATGAAAAGAAAAATGTTAAAAATATATACATATAACTCACTCATTTACTGTTACAGTGTATGAGATTCCTTCTGGCAAGGTGTTGGCTGAATTCATCGGCCATCTCAAAATAGTCTATGATCTCTGCTGGTCCAGAGACGATCGGAGCCTTCTGTCTGCCTCCTCTGATGGAACTGTCAGGTAAATTTCTGTTTGTTGGATTAAAAAAAATAGATCAAACTGATCAGAAATGTTGTGTTGTGTCTCAGTTCACAGTCTTCTGTTGTTACACTTGCTTTTTGTGTGCATAAGTGGGTTCATACTGACAAGTAGGGCAAAGGCAGTGCACTGTAAGTACCCAGGTTTTGTACTCATAGGGGTCAAAAAGTTACGTGTGAAAGGCTGGACACTCCTTACCCTCAAAGGTTGCTATGTTGGCTGTGTGGGGGGAGGGGAGTGACTACTAAACTTGTGAAAATGGCGGTTGAGGACACTGCAGCGGTTGCAGTTGCGCCAGTGAACAAGCTGGCAGATACTTTGGCAGGTGACAGTCATGTTCAAATACTCAAATGTTGGGATTGCCATTTCCGGTAAGTGCACAACAGCCATGTTCGATATGAGACACTACCTTGTCAAAATGAATGCATTACACAAGTAAGCACATAGTGTACACAGTGTATTTAAAAGGAAATGTATGAACAGAAGTATCCAAATTGAGACAGCATTCGTGTTACAGTGAGGTGTTGCTGCTGGTGACTCAGTTGCTGTAATAGTTGTTTTTCAAAGCGCCTCTAGGGGGAGTAAGTACTCCTTGTAGCAAGTGTCTTTATGTTCCCAGTGACACAGCATGTTTTGGGCTGTACTGGTGATTGTCTGAAGAGTATCATTTAAAGATTGTCATCATTATTCGTATTTTCTTGCTCTCGTCCCTCAGAGAGTGGAACGTGGAGAGGCTTCAGCAGTCGGCCCAGAAGGTGCTCCCTCATCCCTCCTTTGTGTACTGTGCTCAGTACCACCCCACGGCCCAGAACCTGGTGGTGAGCGGGGGCTACGACTCTCTGCTACGTGTGTGGAGGGTCGATGTGGATGAAGTGAATGGCCAGCTGCTGCAGGAGCTCGAGGGTCACAACAGTTTCATCAACTCAATTTGTTTTGACTCTGAAGGTATTGTGTGTTCATAGTGTACCTAAACTCCTATCATAAACTGGCAACCTGTCCATGTTGTGTACCTCTCACCCAGTGTATGCTGAGATAGGCCCAGTGCCAACTACTACCCTGTACGAGATAAGAATGAATTACTCACCCCAAGTGAATGTTACTGTGTTAATAAAAAAGTGTCACATACAACAGAGCTTTGATGACAGTAATAAACTAGAGGGAATCCACTGAATGTACACATAAGAAATTCTAAATGATATAAAGCTTCACACAGGTTTATTTTACATCATGTCCTGGCTTCAGTATTTTTTTTAAGATGAATTCAAAGAATGGGGAAGCTGCTCTCTGACCACCTCAGAGGACTTAAGAGATCCCCTATACTCATTCAAGCTCATTTAAAAGAAAAAATATTTTGTTTATACCAAAGCTTTTCTCTTTTATCATAAGCTGCTGCTGCCTTCACCCTAACACAGAGACCCCTCTTGAAACCACCAGTAAGTTTCAGTGTGTATGTGGGCATGCATGTGTGCATTTCAGTACATTTTTGAGGGATTCTTAATTTAGTATTTGTGGTGCTCTGTTTAAGAAAAACGAAGCTTGGCTTCTTTTGTCATGTGAATGCAGGTTATTGTACTTGTGCACTCTTATAGCTGACATCTTTTTTATTGTATTTGTTGTAATTAGGAAGGAGAATGTTCTCTGCAGACAATACAGGCCTCATCCTTGTGTGGAAAACTACAGTAACCGACAGCAGGCGGCATCAGCCGTGTCATCGCTGGTGTATAGAGAAGGTGCATGAGATGATATTCTGACGTTTGAACTACATGTACATATCATACAGTATACTTAAGATCTGTCAGATGGTGGTCTGCTTGTGTAGTAGAAACAAAAATTTAAAGAAATATGAAACTGCACGTTTTTTCTTAGCAGAAAATTGATGAGATTGACCTCGGTGGCATCCCTGTCAACATGCTGCAGCTCCATCCGAACGGGCGGTGCCTGCTCATCCATGCCAAAGACAGCGTCCTGAGAATGATGGACTTGAGAATGTAAAGATAAAATTTAAACACTACCACTTGTAATTACAGGAAACAGTGACCTGTGTTCTGCTTTTAAGTGTCTCTACTGGTTTTGTGGTTTTTATGACTGGAGAGAGGGGGCAGACCTTAGCCTCTGTGAGTAGATGATAACTCACACTGAGTAATGCCATTAACTTAATGTATTTGCTCTTGTAATGCACCAGTATTAGCGACTCATTTCACTTCACTTCACTTCACTTTCATGAAGTTGACAGCACAGAGTGGCTGTTAAAATTAGATTTTGTAGCCTGAGTTATCGCTGTATCTCAGTTACACATAATTTCTGGGTTACATGGAACACATGAAAACATTTTTTGAGCTGTTAAAACAAATAATGTCACTATTCATAACTCTAATACAGACAAAATTAGCTGTCTTATATGAAGTAACAGTTCACCCAAAAAGAAAATACACATTTTTCTTCTTACCTGTAGAGTTATTTATCAGTTTAGATAGTTTTCACTAGATGACACTCGGCTTGTGGTGCTCAAAGCGTCAAAAAATACTTTAAAAACTCCACAGCAATGTCTCTTTCCAGAAATCCACAGACCTTCTTGTGAGCAGTTTCATGTAGGAACTTTTTTCCTTCTAATGAATTACATCCACTAGCTGTGTCATTGTTCAGAAGGAAGTGTGCATCTACTCATGAATTACAGGCTCACACCAAAACAGTCTAGATTAATAAATAGTGTTACTGGTAAGAGAAATGTATTTTGGATTTTAGAGGGACCTGTTTCTTTAAGATATCATTTATATCTTTTCAACAATGTATCTGCGTCTTTCAGACTGGCTATAAAGAAGTACACCGGAGCCACAAACTACAGAGAGAGGATCTACAGCACTTTCACGCCATGCGGGAACTTCATCTTCTCTGGTAGTGAGGATGGGATGGCTTATGTGTGGAATACAGACACAGGTAAGAATCATGCATTTTTTTTCCTCAACAGTTTTGACAGTATTGTACACAGGGGCTCCAGCTGACAGCCGTTCTGTCTCCTCAGGTGACCAAGTTGCCGTCTACTCTGAGCTTTGTTATTCCACTGCTCTCCATGGCGTGGCTTTCCACCCTCACGAAAACATGGTTGCTTTCAGTGCCTTCGGTCAGTCCCAGCCTGTCCATGTATACCTGTACGATCGCAAAGGTTTGTGAAAACACCTGTCAAGTACCTTTTTTCTGTGGTTGCAGCCCCAGAATCTCTCAACTGTGCTCACTTTGTTTTCACATCTGAATGTTATTAAAGTCAGCTGAGCCATCTGAGTCAGTTGATACATTCAAGCACTGAAATACATACTAAACTGAGACTATGTCCTGCTATATCACACAGTTTCCCAGCTGGAGGCGCACACCATAAAAGCTGCGAGCAGATTATCTTCTACAGACACCAAAACCATCAGAAACACACCTGACACCCCAGCACTGCAGGACACATCTGCCGCTGCAACCATTGATCAGTTTGCCCAAGCAACAAGACTTGCATTGAAAATGCAGTGTGTTAAGGAGCAACTGGATTCAGTGCTTGTAAATGCTCATCCTCCATTACTTTGAAATAGGTATATTCAGAAACACAGAAATTATATGTGCAATAAAACTCACTTTTTCAAATCATTTTTAGGATCCACATCAGAGATCTTCAGCTTCTGGATACATGTATGAGCAAGGTGCTGTATGTGTTTTACATTTTAACTGTTGAAATGTTTTATATGATGAATGTGTTGTGCTGAGTTACATCTCGATTAACCTGTTATGCAACAGTGCTGCTGTCCTTTTCTTTACATATAAAATATTCTGCTCTTGTGTGTTTGGTTTGCAGACAAAATGAGCATTACTCACTCAGGGAGGAGTTTCACAACTGACTCTGTCACAGTGAGTTTTTGATCCTTTGTAAACACACCCTTGTATACTTGGTCTTTGTTGAGCTCATTTATGTTGATGTAACCGGTCGAGCCCTTTATGCCAACCTTGATGTTGTTCTCTGGAACCTCTGTCTAAACATGCTTGTTCTTGGGTTTCCTCTCAAGTGCTGGGAAAGGAGATACCCTACAGAAATAAGTCTATAAAGTCATAGAGTGTGTATGTTTATGATAAACTCACATCTTGATTAGCACAGCTTTTCAGTAGTGTATTGCATTTCCTCTGGGTTGTTTGTTATCCAGATAATCCTGCTGGCTGCCATTATGTATTTGGTTAATTTTATTTCTTGACTTTAAAGGTATACTCTGCAGGATTGTCGGTTACTGTTACCAACCTGTTTGCATCCAGCAGTGAAAGTAAAAGCCAACCCCAGATCTGCTCTTGTTTGGCATTTTGCCTCGCTATATTGCGTTTTTGTGGCACTGTGTCTGTTGCTTATGGTCTGGCACCTAGGAGTAACCTTTTTATAAAGCCCCGACCTCACCTGAGTGTTGTGGCGTTACACACCCATAAATATCCTGAACACAGAAAACAAGAAACTCGAGACAGAGGGCTGCAGAAAAATACACTGCCGCACACTTTTATGGGGCTGTATGAGGTTCTTATCCATAGTTAATTTATTATGTACAGTAGGACATTGGCATGCACCCACTTTGCATAAGCAGGCAAGAGTACAACCACAGAAGCTACGCAATGTACTTCCGTGGCTGGAGGAAGCATCTATCCATTCATCCATTTTCATCTGCTCATTCGGGGCCAGTTTGCAGGGCCAGCAGGCCAAGCAAAGCACCCCAGACGTCCCTCTCCCCAGCATTGCTTTCCAGCTCCTCCTGGGGGACCCCGAGGCATTCCCAGGCCAGATGAGATATGTAATCCCTCCAGCGTGTTCTGGGTCTGCCCCGGGGCCTCCTACCAGTGGGACGTGCCTGGAACACCTCTAACAGGAGGTGCCCAGGAGGATCCTGATCAGATGTCTGAACCACCTCAACTGACCCCTTTTGAAGCGAAGGTGCAGTAGCTCTACTTCAAGCTCCCTCTGGATGTTTGAGCTCCTTACCCTATCTCTAAGGCTGAGCCCAGCCACCCCACAGAGGAAACTCATTTTGGCTGTTTGTATCTGCGATCTCATTCTTTCGGTCACTACACTGGAGGAAGCAGCAAAAATGTAGCAGTTTAAGTGTATGCTGTATGTAGAATATTTTCACTGCTTTACCTTACTATCAGCAGTATCTGATGAGGAACTGTAGCTGTTATCTGTGCTTTCTTCAAAGCCACCAGACTCCATTGACAAAAACAGTAATTTTACCTTGTAGAAGGTGGGAGTTGCTGGTCTGCCACTGCCTCTACTGGTTAGTTTGTGTAATTGTGTGACTTTGGTGAATCTGAACTAATCCTTTACAACATCTAAGTCACACAATAACACAAACAAACTAAGTGATTTAGGCAGCGGCAGACCAGCAGCTCCTGTGTTCAGTGAGGTAAAATCACTGTTTTTGTCAGAGGAATCTGTTGGCTTTGAAGAGAGCACAGATGAATATAACGGCTACAGTTCCCCTTGGAAGTCACTGTCCGATGGCAAGGTAAAGCAGTGAAAATATTCTTAATATAGTGTACACTTCAACTGAAATTGATTTTTTTAGGTAGGTAAAATATGTTCGGGCATCTGGTAAGGATGCCTTCCGGACGCCTCCCTTGGGAGGTGTTTCAGGCGTGTCCAACCGGGAGGAGACCTCGAGGCCGCCCCAGAACACGCTGGAGGGACTACATCACCCGGCTGGCCTGGGAACGCCTCGGAGTTCCCGCGGAAGAGCTGACGGAAGTGGCTGGGTAGAGGACTGTCTGGGCTTCTTTGCTGAGGCTGCTGCCCCTGCGACCCGGACCCGGATAAGCGGAGGACGACGAGTACGACGGACGAGTACGAGTAAAATATGTTTTGCTGCTGCCCCCATCCACAGCATTACATTGCTTAGCTTCCCTCGCCGTACTTGTGCCTGGCTCTCCAAACTGGAGGCATGCCGACCACCATATACTGTAGGTAATACACTGACTATGAATAAGTACCTCATATAACCCCACTTCAAATAATCTGAACTATCCCTTTAAATGACCTCTGCACATGAAATTAACCACTGACCGGGAAAATTGCCTCAGGAGGCCCAAGCAGGTCTCCATGAAATAGAAAGTAGTTATTAAAGTAGGTCTATTTTGAAATGAAATAAATTGCCAGACCACTCAAGTCCAGCCTTTTCCTTTCAGACGGGATTAAATGCTTCGTTGCCGCCTCCGTCTCTCCTGTCGCCGCACTCCAAGCTGCAGCTCTCTGGTCCTCTAGCGGAGCAGCTAATCCCCCAGGCGGCTCTGAGCGCCCAAAACCGTGAGTGGCTTGTCCAGTTAATCACACTGTTATAACCAATGAATGACTTTGCTGCCGCTCTGTGAATTGTGAGGTCAAATATTTTTCAAGATTGTCGCTGCACAAAATGTAGCATGTGGTGACCAAAACCAAAGGCTTCCAGCGTTGTTGTTTAGAGTCTCCTGAAGCATGTACACCACGCACAGAGAGAGTGATGGGCCTCTTGTGATTTTCACTTGTGTCCGTAAGTGAACACAAGTCACTGGATCGTGTTACAGTCTAAGATGAAGTATTTATGCCTGCTTTTGTTTGTTCTTGTTATTTCAGGTGGGTTCAGTCCAGTCGGTCAGCGTCTAAAAGGAGCTTCATCTTTCAGGCTACAGACAGTAAGGCTGTTTTATGAGTTTATTTCTTTATCTAATATTTTTTGTGATGTGAACATGACTGTCCTGGTCCATCAAATATCATATGGCCACTTAAACTGCTGCAGCAGGATTAACATTAATCTCTTTCTCTCCATCAGAGCCTTCCCGACCACATTTCTTCAGGCATCCAGGAAACAGATTCTGCCCCTGTTCAACAAGTAGTAAGTATCCACTGTAGCCACGAGCTCAGTCACATGAAACCTTCCCCCTCTCATATTTAACCCCTCCAACTCTGCGTTTCTCCCCCAGGTCGTCTCGCTCTATGACTACAGAGCTAATCGGTCTGATGAGCTGACTATACGCCGCGGTGATGTCATCCAAGTGCTGTACAAAGACAATGACAACTGGTGGTTTGGGCGTCTGGCCAACGGGCAGCAGGGATATTTCCTTGCTTCTTATGTGGCAGATCAGAGTAAGTGAATTATAATTTCTTGTGACAGACACCTAATAAACAATGCATATGAACATTTCCACGTGATGCAAGATGCTGAGTTGTTTTATGTTGCAGGAGATTTCAGTGAAGAGGTGACTCAGTCTGTAGAGGCACATGCAGCCTTGTCTGAGGGGACTGTTGAGAGGTCAACACCAACCAGGGTAAGGAGACAGAGTAATAGAGCAGCATACTTTACTTTATTTGTTTATTTGAAAAGGACCGTGCATATTAATGAACAATCGGTACAAATACATGACGTCATGTAAATATGCCGGATTTAGCTAGAAGCTAATTTCCATCTGTAGTCCTCACATTTAAAAGACAGACAGACATACCATAAATAACAGTTCAATCAACAACATATAAAACATCTGTCCATGATCTGAATCATGTCTTCTTTCATTTGTAATGTTATGGGCTAAAGGTGAAACAAGGTGTGGCTGTAACAGAGGGTGTACATGTCTTGCACTCCATATGCAGGTCTCCTTTCTCTTGTGTCTGTGGTGCCTATTTTTCTGTTTGGTAAAGTGATACTTCACCTCAATCTTTCTTTTATGCTTCAGACACCGTCTTTATACTGTAGATGTGACAACATTTAACAAGAAATGGTTGGCCACAGTCTCTCAAGGCATTTAGGTCAAAGCACTGCTGTGCCGAAGTACAGCCTCAGAACTTTTAGCATTATTGTAGACCCTTCTTTCATCTTTTTTAATCCTGTTATTTTTGTTTACGTGGTGATGATTGTCACCCAAAATCATGTACCTCCTGATGACTTCCTGAGCACAGGGATTTTGATGCTGACAACTTTGAATGACAAAGTATTGTATCATCTATAAAAACATGTAAATGCTCAGTATGTGACAAATACGGCTTCCATGCTCAGCTGGAAACCAGGGATGCATGATAATATGGGCACGTCATCAGTATCAGCCAATATCTGCTTCAAAATAAAATATCAGGATCAGCCAACATGCTTTTTCTCAATTTGCACAATGAAAATATTACATACATTGAAAAGTATTGTATTTCATGTCTCCATCTGTTGGTGGGCCATCATGATTAGAGTATGCATGCATAATATGATGTAACTCTACTACAGAAGAGACTTGATGATCACTGAAATTAGGCAGAGAAAAAAGTGGATAAAATGATAATGGTATCGGTTATCAGCCAAATGAGTTGTTAGGTATTGGCATGTTGGATATCGGTAAAGAATCCAGTAATGTGCATTCCTACAGGAAACAGTCTACGTGGTTATATTTTGTTGAAACTAGCCACTGATATACCTATAGTGGGTGAGTGAGAGAGACTTTAAAGACTCTGTGTGAAATTCACAGCGTATGAGCTTGGACAGGACTCTCAAAATGGAGGTGGCTTAGCCGGTAGCTAGCATCTAATGCTGCTAACTCCATAAACAGTAACAATGTCAACCAGGCAGGAACTGGAGGGTGAGCACTATGTTTCCACACCCCCGCCATCCAGATAGCAGTGGTAACCGCCATATAAGCACAGTACAAAGTGGCAGCAATGAACTAGCCAGACTTGCTTTCCACAACAAAGAACAGAGAAGCTCAGAGTACAGCACACACAGGGAGTGAATGTGTGACTTCATTCTGCTAAGGATGCCATTACTTCACTATATCTTTACATAGCAAATACAAGTTTACTGCTATAGTAATGTTTTAAATGTCACACACAGAACCTTTAGAAGATTTTGGGAGAAGTATCACTTTAATGTCTTCTTTTTAGTGCATAAAAGAATACATGGTGGTGGTGGTCTGTATTCCAGTTTCTGTGTGGCTTTTCCTGTCATTTTATCTTTTCTCCTTCCCAACTTTTCCAAGGTGTCTGCTGCAATTAGTTCTTCTGGGGAACTTAGGTTTCTTTCTGAGCCGACCCTTTCTGACACCGAGCCTGAGCTGACTGATGCCAGGTGAGTGGCTCGCTGAGCTTTAATCCTCATGACTCCATTCACAGGGTCGTGGTTTTACTGAACACTGCACAAGGCTCCAAGTAGTTCTTCTCTTAAACAAAAGCAAGACAACACAGGTTTATCACTGACATGTTGTGTTATAGTTAAATAATGAACACTGATTGGAATGATGGTTTTATTGCAGAGCTAGAAGGAAAAAGAAGGTGAAAAAGTCAGGAGTCCCCGCACCTTCGTCTCAGGCCACATTTTCAGATGCAGATGCTCCGGTGTCAATGAGCACCAGGAGGAGAGGCCGGTCAGCAGACAGACCTCTCCCAAAGAGACCAACGGGCCGGACTAATGGTGCCTTCGAGCCAGACACATGATTGTTTTCAACTCGAGTGCTTTCACCTTTATTCTGTTTCATATAAAAAGCATTTTTGTATTAATGACCCTGCAGCTGTGTTGTATTTTTACTGCTTTGTCTTTTTATATTCAGTCAGTATGTTCTGTATTGTATTTAATACAGATCGATCAATGACATGTAAAACTTTGATAATGAATGCTTAAAGAATTGAGTGATTCTAGGAATTCTAGTTTTACATATTTATTGATGTAAGCATATTTTCACTATTGCACATGTTGCATGTTTACAGATTATGTAGAAAACAAAATGTAATATTGTAGTTTTATTTTCTTAGCCTGTAAAAGATTGACAAATTTTGTATATGCCACTTCTTCAGTTATATAATAATACAGATTATTCTTTTGCAAGTGTTTGTCTTTCTATAAATCATGTTAAGTCACACTTTTGATATTTAACATTTGTAAATAATATAAATAATAATTGTTTAACACATTAAAGTAATAGCCTTTTAGAATACTAAAATTGATCAAAGTTGATCTTATTACATAAAACAGACATTGACAAAGTTTTCCTTAAAGTTATAAATCGCAATATCTTATTACAATACTCAGCATATTGCAAAACGTTAAAAATCTAATTCAAGTTGATATTATTTTGAAGAATTCAAGTCAAATGGAGATCATTAATAGAACATGAATGTGTAGTGTCCATTAGCATCAGCATGTAATGATTTCATCTTCAACTTTTGTACATGTCTTTTCATTTTAAGATTCTTGGATCAAGAGGAGGTTTATTGTGTGACACACTTGAAATGCATTTTATAGTACAGCTAATGTTTCAGTGGACCATTGGGTAACTTTTCCAAGTTAAGTCCGTCAAATAAAATATGAGCAGGATGCTAAGCAGTGCATGATGGAATGGATCGAGAGAATAAAGACACCAATGTTTTTTAATGTAGATATTTACTGTTTATATTCAAATAAATGCAAAAATCTTACATATTGTTCAATCAGAAATTGAGGCTCAACATATAAAATCACTAACTGCAGTAAAATGTGACACAATGCTCCCTGTTATATCAAATTATACTGAAGGTAATGAGAGGTTCACAATGACCTGTAACATATCAAAGGCCTAGGTGATATAAAAAATCAAATATCCCTATATTTTTACCAGATACCTCGATATCGATATTGTAGGGTTGACTATTAGTGCTTTTACAAAATATTCACACTAGATTTTTAAAAATGAATCATCAGTAATGTGGATATAATGACAAAGAGGGTAAAGGCAAAGAACAGAACAGCTAGAACAGCCAGGTAAATGAGAAGTAAAAGAAAAAGAAAATTACACTTATGATATCATGATATCCAAAATCTAAGACAATATATAGTCTCAAATCATCATGATATCAACACATTGCCCAATCTAATAACATACCACTTCATAGATCATGTTATAACATGCTTATTTGCTTTGTGTTGCCATGACTGGTCCGCAGCTCCTGACGTGTGTAACTTCAACATGAAATCCAGGTCATGACCAGGTCAGAACTAAGATCATTAATACAGCAGAGCTTCAGAACAAAAGGCACATTTAGTTTGTGCTGTGAACTTAACAGTGTTCGACGATATTCACTAATATTACATTCATTCATCATAATGCACTACAGTATACGAAACTATTAAAATTCTATTAAAAATGTACAGACGTTGAGCCAGTAATATAGTGTACTGCTTTGTTTTCGGGCTGCAGTCTCCGCAACACCAAAAATGTATAATTTAAAAATGTTAAAAAGCAATTAATAATGACAATAAACAATCTGTGCAACTTGGAAGCTGATGAAGCATTAAGACAATGTGTTGTTCACTATGGTGTCCTCCACGTGGCGCCGAGAGCTTCACTCAGTCAGGAGAGGAGTGCTTTCATCTGTTTGTTGACTGTCTTCTCGAATGCTATAAATTAAACATAAAAGTGAGTGTTACACCTCACATTCTTGGAAAAATGCACCAGTAGAGTCTAGATAGCGTTACATAGATATATGAGGCATCTAAATATGTGACATAAATCTGATTATTGTCATTTGAGGTTAATGATTACCTTTGTTGTGGGCGCTGACACAGGTAATGCAGAGCAAGGAGAAAGGCCTGAGGACAGAGAGGTTGTTGAGTTTCATGTGTGTAACTGCTCCAAAAAGAAAATCACACATTTCCTTTGCTATTAATCTTCCTAATGTGTTTAACACCTAAAAGATTACTGGGCTTGGAATCACATTTTTCTCACTCTTTAAAGAAATGCCACGCAAATAAAGCTCATGCTGTCTCTGTAAAACAGTCATGTGTTTATTGACCCTAATGCATGAGTGACTCATAATTTATTCTTTATGATATGGTCATGAACAGTAATGCGGGATCTTTCAAATCACAAGACAGTATGAAGGCTAATATGCCAGTAAGTGAGATCAAAAGTCAGTTTTCATGGCTTCATGGATCATCATCCACATACCCCAACACTGCACAAACTGATACTTACACCCAAAAACGCCAAGCCTCCTTGGACTGCAGCCGCCCACTCAAAGTTCAGATGTTGCGTAATAATGCCACCCACTATTGGGCCATAAAACATCCTTTAAAAGAAATTTTCAAATTTCCATTATTACAACATTAAAATATTCCCCAGCTACATACAGCACATAATGGGAACCTGAAAAAGATGTTCCCCAGCTCTGTATTTGCTTATCATGACTCCAGGGTTCCTACACAGTATGGAAAAATATGGAATTTGATTCTAGTCATTTCCAGGTCTATGGAAAGTATGGAAAAAGCAAAAGAGAGTATGGACATATATTTGTGTTTCTAGACTACTGAACATATTCTGTTTTCTAAAATATAAAATTCATACTTTCCTGAAGTAAAATGATCATACAAGTGGATTATTTTTCATTCACACTCTGCAAATCCATGACCAAATTAGTTTGACAGAAAATGTAGTGATGCAAACGAAGTGATGCAGTTAACAAATATGTAAACAGGCTCTGCTTGAGGAAACCTTTATGGCTGCGTTCATCATCATTTCCATAAACACAGTGAATAAACAAGGCTGCACAGACTCTAACAAATTTTAAACTAATTTTCAGTTGTTATGTGTCTAATGTTTGTTTCTGTCTCTGTGTGTTTGGCCTTCTGGTTCCCTCCTCCTGCTAACCCTCCAACAGCTGCTGAACCTGCACACCTGAGCCACATCTACAATCAAGCTACTGCAGTGTAAAACCTTGGCTCAGACATCCAGACGTCCAGACATCAAGGCCAACCTCTAGTCTTTTGGACACTTTGTCTTTTTGTACTTTTTGTACAATTCACACTCTGTTCTGGGTATCAGGTTCACCACGCCAGCCTCAACCATAACCCGCCATGTCCAGTCTCTGGACTGCTCTGCCCTCAGCTAATCTGCCTGCTCTGCTTCGTCATTCCCTGCCCACCTCAGCCATCACTCCAATTCTTCAAACTACACTAAACTGCCTTTTATCATTCCCTGTTTCCTGGCTGTGTTTGCATTTCGGGTCCTAAGTTCTATATTCTAAACTATGTTTATGGCTTGTTAGTTCAATGATATCTTGACAACTGAAATGCAAGAGCAAACAAAAGCTATTTTAGGACTAGAGAGTGACCATGACGTGAACATGATTGGTGCTATTGGTGAAATCTGACTCAAAAACAATGGGCGGGTTAATGTGTGTTCACTGAATACTGAACTAGGGAACTTTGAACCCTGGGAACAAAGATACACTCCTGGAAATAAATACCAACCAGTGTAACAATAGATTCAAACTACTGAACAGCAAATAGCTTTTGGGTGTTGATTGTAGGATGTCGGTAGGACTCACCCCAAGGACCAAAATGCCCCAAATAGTCCCGACACCATCCCGAGAGTGCTTAGCCCCTCTTCATATCCTTGTTCACTACAAAGAAGAAAATAAAATAATGTGGATTGTCTCACCCTGATAAAAACCTGCAGGTCATGAATGTAGTTGTGAAGTTACTCACTATGCACATTTGATGATCTCAGGGAACGTGGGGATTGCAGACATACCCAGAGAAAACCCAATTACACCAAGCATGACGATCAGCAACCACAGCTGACTACACATGTAAACATACACACACAAACACAAAAAAAAGTTAGTACTGTGAACATATAAGAATAGTCTTGACGCAACACATTATCCACTAGTGTTGGAGGAAGTACTCAAACCTTTTATATTAAGTAAAAGTAAAAATATCACAGCAGTGAAATATGTGGCTACTCCTTTAAAGCAGAGGGTCTTTGTTACTTTCCATCTTTGCCACATGCTCACCTTGGTATGTAAAGGAAAGGGGCGGGACCAAGCAGGCAGAAGCCAGTCGCTGTGGCGGCGCCTCCTGTTACCATGAACCAAGGCCTGGTGAACTGATGAACACCAACACACACAAGGGAATTAGTCCAACATGACAAATCTACAGTTCTGAAAGAATTAGCCACATTTACATTAATACTCACGGGATATTTGTCAGTAATATACCCCAACAGCGGTGATGCCAGGCAGTAAGGTAACGACAAACCGAGCATGGTGAGTCCCACGTAGCCAGATGAGAGACCAAACTAGACACACCAGAGAGGGGGAACTTATTAACATGAAGCACGATAAACTTTCTTTCTACAGCAAACTTTAGGAGAAGAAAGGAAAGGTACCGTCTCCATAGCAAACAGGGACAACGTGGCATCCAAGAAGCCCAGACCTGAACTAAGAGTGAAGATCACATAGCACATCAGGACGATTTTCACTTTGGTGAGAAGTCGAAAGAACGAATCCTTCGATGGGTCTGACTCTGAGCAGACACAAGCACAAAACACAGCTCACAGTTACAATCTGAGAAACAAAAAACACTGAAATGATTGAAAATGTACAAATAATGAGCTGGAACTGCAAACTACTACCAATGTTTGGCAAGACATAGATGTTGAAAGGAACCATAATCAATAGTAAACATCCAAGAAGCATAAAAGGGACTTCATATCCAAATGACTGGTAGAACCACCCTCCGACCGGCGGCCCCAGAATGAGACCAAGCCCTGTGAAAATCTCCAAACTACCCTAAAGAGAGAAAATTGACGCACATTAAAATATGCATTTTGTCAGCATAAGGACCATTACGACATGTGCCAGAAGCTATTTATTATTTCCATGACACTGGGAGAAATGGGAGACACAAAACAACCCTGGCCATAATGCTTTTTTTGTTTTTCTCGTGACGCTAATGACTAAACAACATACCAGTCGCACAAGGGTTGTCTGCACTCACCAAAACAGTCGCCACATTGTTTGGGAATATTTTTGCTGTCATGGCA